ATTCCAACCGTCCAGATATAAAGGGAGTGGTCTGCTCTTGCTTTGTATGCATTAGGCCAGCTCTCACCTCTGACCCCCCGAGCGCTCCATGGCAGGTTCATTACCACGCTCCGTAACACAGAAATCAATCGCTGTGCGGCCTCCGATACAAATATTCCATTCACCGTGCTTTTCACTCACACGTGGGTGTTTGTGAATCAATAAAAGTGAAAAGAGGGTGACGGTGGAGAGGACACTTCTTGCTCTGACGGTTGCAGTTAGAACAGCGCCTGATGGCCCTCTTTGTCATCATTAGCACTGCCGCTAAGGGGCAGTAGAGAGCCTGGAATGGAAGTGCCACAAATCCACTGTGAGGGCTGAAAACATTATTGCAAATGAAATAGTCAAGACATGTCTCAGTTCACCAGTACTGTATTTACAAATGTACTTTGATTCCACTGCAGTATGCACAAATGTAAAACTCTAATGCTATTAATGACATGAAATCCCACTCTTACCTGAATCTGTATTAACTCTAAATACCCCTGTGATTGCATCTACTGATTATGGAATATCTACAAATTTGAAAATGTAACTAATAATGACATCAAATGATAATAACAAAAAAGTTATACAAATGTTTTGTGTGTAAAAATACAGATCTATCTATCTATCTATGACCTCGAGATTATGGATAACTGCAATAACAAGCAGTAATAATGTACTGTGCAATATAAGGACACACAGTTAAATTGAATTTATTGGATACATTTACGCGTTTATTTACAGTAACAAGGTGACACCATATGTTATAATATAAGTCATTATCGTAAATCAGACAGCGGGGTCATTATCTCCATCAGAGGCGGCGGCGTATCCACAGCGCGCACAGTAGGCGGCGTCAGTCCAACCATCGACGTCCTCGTGAGCTCACTTCCGTCGACTTGACTGGGATCAGTGTTCTCTCAGTCTTCGCCGCTTTTGTTCTCCCATTTCCATCCAGCCTGCGGAGCCGCGAAGACCGAGCAGATAGTCTGGGCAACCGCAAGACTGCAAAGTCGCGGACTGACATTTTCGCAGAAAAGCACAGCAGACACATGCAAAGCGCAGTCTACACAAAGGATACGCAGCACCTCGTAGTTACGTAACTGGACTACTTTTGCTCTTTTATTATTATTGGGCTGTTTTCCACGTTTTGTTGCACCAAAACTACCCTCGCTCATCTAAAGTCAAAATGGAGAACGACGACAAATACCTCCCCGAGCTGCTGGCGGAGAAAGACAGCCTGGACTCGTCGTTTACGCACGCAATGAAACTTTTAAACGCAGGTAAAGTAGTGTTGTGGTGATTTTGGTCGATCTTACTGTCTTGTGTGCGTGTACGTATGATTGTAGTGAGTGTGCGTTTTCCACATGTGGACAAGCGCAAATTCAAACGCGCGCTACGCGTGTGCGGACCGGACGTCTGAATATCCATATACATAACGAGAGTTTTTAAAATATTAGTGCTTATAGTAGCATGTGTGTGGGCAAAACACGTGTTTACTCAAATGGTTGTGTAGCATAGCTGCTAGTTCATAACTAATTTCTGGGACTCGACCACGCACTTTCAAATATTCCTCACGTTAATTTCCGGCAGCTCTCGCGGCTGCAGTGGTTAAATGTTGTCTACTACCGACATGTGAACCTCGGCGATTTGAATGATAAGAATTTTCTTTGCTTTGCTTTTTAAATCTATGCGTTATTGCGATTTAGGTCCAACAAACCCCCCGCTAACCTGCTAATCAAACTTGGGGACCTCCATGATGTTGTCGCCCTGGGGTCTTGAAATGTTGAGACGGGGGCACGATTTTCGACACGACACCAGTGGGAACGTAAAATGACGCCTTTGCTCCGAATGCTGCAAAACAGACGGCGTTTGAGTTCTTGTCTGGTGTTGTACACCTGAAGACAGGTTGTTGGATGGTGTGGGAACATTACAGAAGTTTCTACCGAATATATTACCAACGTTGTGTCTTGTGTTTTTGGTTGAAATTCAAAAGATGTCAAGCTGCGGTTAATGGTCATTCGTTGATTTAAAAATGTTTAATATGACAAAAACGTTGTTTTACGTTATTTAACGTATTGCTTTGTAATATTAAAAATGGCCACGTTGTTTTAACTCCTTTAAATGGGTACATTTGCTAAATGTGTAATTGCAGTTTTGTGAGCTACCTTTTGTTGTTTAATTATGTAATAAAAAAAAACTTGGACTGTCCTCTGTGGAAACCCTTGGTGTTTTTGTCTCACATTTAGAGCTCTCAATCTGAACGTAACCTTGACTCAGGTGTGTCTGTGTGTGGTGTGGATATTTACAGTAACCCAGCCAGTCTGGTTACCACCTGACCCACTCCATTAAGACTGCAGCCTGTAGACTGCAGAGGAGTTGACATGTTTGCACACTGCAGACTCCAGGGTTGTCATTACCAGTCAGGAGGAGATGGTTTGGGGTTGTGTTGTGTTCCAGGAGGCAGAGATGGTTTGGAGTAGACAGCAGCTATGTCTCTGAGTGCCACAGAGGAAACTCTAGTTTAGAGCGAACAGATATGGAAACTTTTTTTTTTTTGAAATTCTAGAAGCCCAGTACTATATATTAACGTATGATCGTTTAAATAAGTAAAACTATCACCACAATAACTTAATAAAGTATTTTTTTAGTACTTGAAGAATTATTGAAACCAAGATTTACTTGATGTAATGTCACTGAAAAATAATCTGTATCAACCAACAACATTTATTAAAATGCTTGGCTCATGCACAGTTTAACTGATGACAGCGACGTTGACGAAATTACCGGTAGATTCTGTCAAATTGTCGGAATGCTTGTCCTGAAACGGTCCCTCTCCCTTTGTAGAAATCGATAGGATCCAGAAAGGCGAGCCTAAAAAGGAGGCAGAAGCATACCTGGACCTGTTCACAATGAAGAATATCAAACTTAAGGAACGAGTACTAATACCTGTCAAACAGTATCCGAAGGTGAGTAGTAGCCTTTTTTCCCCCTGCCTTTACTTGTTAACCTTTTGGTTCTAATTCTAATCTTCATGCTCCAGAGTTTAATCACCACAGATACTTCCAGTACTGTGAACGACTCAAAATTTAAACTTGATGTGCAGATAATTGAATAAGAATCTTAGTCTTAATCCCTTTAGTTTCTTATTTACCTGTTTGAAGTGAGCACAAATTGATAGAGCAAATGTTTTTCTAACTAAAGAGAAATCTATAGATACTGCCCCTCTCCCTAGTATCGGATCAATACGGTGTAGGAGTCTGAATTGTGGTTGTAACACCATTGTCTGATCTCTGGACTTGGCTTTAATTTGTGTGTCGGTGTCAGAAAAAGGGGAGCTAATGGGCGTATCTAACTACAAAAAAGCCGGCATCATGGACCCAGCGGGGATTTTCTTGATGCGATAGCCAATTGGAGGACACATCATATACACAGTTATTACGCTTATTGGAGATTGCAAAAAGTAAAGATGCACCGCTCTTGTTCAAAGTCGTTCTGGCTCCGTGTCGGGATGATTGTAGTAAATAGTTGCTGACAGCATTATAGCTTTCAAAGGGGTTGCTATCGACCTTTCCCTGTAAATCTACTACTTAAGGCTGCAGTATGCACAGCAGTCCCCGCACGAGCGATCGCTCACTCCGTCTCCTGGCATTAGACTTATCCCCACTTTGACTGTAACACTGCTGTGTTTTGTTTCTTTTTTTTGCTCTCAGTTCAATTTTGTCGGGAAGATTTTGGGACCTCAGGGCAACACAATCAAAAGACTACAGGAGGAAACTGGAGCCAAGATCTCTGTGCTGGGCAAAGGATCCATGAGAGACAAAAACAAGGTAAGATTCCTCCGCCCACTGACCCGCACCGACAGACAGCCACGTACTGTTAAACACCTGTGAGATGGCAGTTGAAGGGGTAAGACATCTGGCCTGCACTTAAGGGAGATGGCAGGCACTGAGCCCAGATCATGTCAATCTGCAGGATATCGCAGGCAGGCTTTAATGTAAAGCCAAGGGCAGCGATGGCCTCAACACCTGTTTCAGGAGCCTTCAGCCTCAACACCTCATTGTCACATATTGATTATTGCCATCTTCGAACAGTGCAAAGAGCTTGTGTCGGTGTGTCCAGCTTTCACATGTGCACACCTTCCCGTCTCTGTCACAGGAGGAAGGCTTGAGAAAAGGAGGCGAGCCCAAGTACGCACACCTGTCCATGGAGCTGCACGTTTTCATCGAGGTGTTTGCCCCCGTTCCCGAGGCTTACATGCGCATGGCGCACGCCATGGAGGAAGTCAAGAAGTTCCTGTTTCCTGTGAGTTGGGACATTTTTTTTGACACAGTTATTTGGACATGTCTCCGTTATTTACAAAATATTTAAGGGGACGGAAGACGGACCGATATAATACACAACACAAAACAAAGTCAATAGACATTATTCGTAAACACCTGGGAAACATGATGCGAGACGACCCAAAAAAACCCTCTTGCGAATCACCTGAGGGTCTCGACCTAGTCTTTGGGAAACAATGCATTAAATGATAAATGTAATAGTTTTTGTTTAATCCTCCTCAGTGATAAAATTTTACTTGTGTATTTTATTTCTTTAATATTTCAAAATAGCTTGTTACATTTTTAATGCTGGTTCGTAAATTGTTAATGAAAGTAGATTTCAGCTGGTGAGGTTTTTTTTTGTGTTTTTTTCTTCTTCTCCCACCTGCAGTCCACGACAGTAACAAATGTACTGTGGCCATTTGAATGGAATGCAAAAAAAGAGACGGTGGTTGAGTGCAGGTGTGTGTTTCTGAAAGATGAGCAGCCACATGTTGCTCAGATAGTCGGTGGGAGAAGTCACAGAAAGCTTGACCTTGAGCAGCTAATCTAATGCCACAGTCCAAACATGTAATGCATTCAGCTAGAACGGCTGGATAAGAGCTGGGCACTGACTGCTCCTGCATGGACACAACATGTCAGCTTCCATTTAATATGCTGACATTTTCTCTCAAAATATATAACATCATTACATCGTTTGACCTAAATTTATTTGTTTGTTTTTTTCTCGGTAAACAGGATTTATATGACTTTTAGTACTAAAAACCGAAAAAATCTCAAGGCTTAGACTCGCATCACTCACGCTATTGATTTGCTCCACCGCACATGATTTCGGGTTTGCATATATTGTGTGTTGGAAAGCAGGACAGGAAGCTGTTGCGTACATGCAGAAGCTAGCATGACGTTTGCATTGGAAGCACCTTACAGTGAGCCAAGAAAAGTTCCAAATAATACATTACAGTACAGTTAACTGTGGGAGAGCGACTGCAAAAACACAGTCCACATAACCCATTTTCATTTAGTACCTCGATCCAGTAACCAAGCACTTTATTTTGAAAGTTGTTGGACTGAAGAGAGAACCTGTGACTGAGTGCAGTTTGTTGGAATTAACTTGTTATTGGAATGTAATTCCATGCCGTTGCTGGATGAATGATTGCCATAGCTTGTTATCAAGGAAATCCATTGAACTGAAATACAAAGATTAGCATAAAGCTGCCATCACCTCAGTGACTTGTAAAAAGAACTGATTATATTTTTTCCCTATCGAGGAATGATCTTTTAACGTTTATTTCCACCACTGTTTTTAACTGATCTGTAAAAGGGGGGTGAAAAAAAAAAAGATAGTGCCGCAGTATTTAAGGTGCTCACACAAGCCGCCACACTAATCCACCCCTAACTTATTGTCTCTGTGGAGAGAGAAAAGGGAAGCTGCTAATGCAGTCATGGCAGATTTGTCAGAGTGCAGGAAGAGGCGATTTAAATTTTGTGCATGATGGAGAACTACAGTGGAGGGTGGATGGATGGATGCTTTCCAGCTTCCCACATTCATGACCCACATCCTCACCCTCCTGTTTTCTCTGGCGCTGAGAGATGTCTTTCCATCGCTCTAACTGTTGGACAGATGCAGCATTTTTTTTTTTTTTTAAATAGTTATATCCTGTCACATGCTTTTTTGATTCACTCTTTTTGATGGTTGGGGGGGGGTTGTCTGTGTGCGTAGGATATGATGGATGATATCTGCCAGGAGCAGTTCATGGAGATGAGCTACCTGAACGGAGGTCAGGAGCACGGGGCTCGGGGCCGAGGGGCCATGGCGGTCAGGGGTCGCGGTCTTCCTCCTGCTGGAATGCATAGGTGAGTGAACGTTGAATCACTGCACACTGTGATTCCTTTTTAAAGGCATTCGTGGCCAATTGTTGACCGGCCCTTTAAGAAAACACACTCTTTGTTACCTATTGTGTTCATGGAAAAAAGACAGCTTCCCCCACTGCGCCCGCTGATGAACTCAGTTTTTAATTTTAGGAGGTTACTCCAGGTCGTTTTACTTGAGCAAATGTGAAACTCTTATTCCTAAAATAGTCAAATTAACATCAGCTAAGACACAAAACTGTCACTTTGTTTTCTATGGGTGACACCAAATCAGTACAGTTTATAATTTTTAATAACTAATTTATCACAACTCCCATGTCATGTGTCTCTGCCTTTCTTTGAACCACTGAGTTTAAGTCTTTTTTTTTTTTGTAAAAAAGAGAACCTCTAGCACAATCTCAACTACCGTTTCTTGCCAAGTGTTAGAAGTAGAAAAATACTGTATGTATGAAGTGGAGACGTAGATCATAACAAGTCTCTTGTCAACCTAAATCACAGCCTTTTTAGTCATGTTTCACTACATGAGAGTTCTCACTTTAATCACCTCAGCAGCACTGGGCTTATTTTAAGCTCAGTGACTAATGCATCACCTTTAAAAAAAAAAAAAAGAGAGAACAAGACAGATATCACATTACGGAGCACCCTGTCGACTCTGTTCTCCACTCCAGGGGCAGAGGAATGCCTCCCCGTGGTGCCCCTGCCAGAGGTGGTGTGAATCGAGGCGGACCGGCCAGAGGTGGCGCAATGAGGGGAGCCCCGGGGGGCCGCGGAGTACCCCCTGCCGCACCGGTAAGAGGAGCCGCCGCTACCCGCGCCAGGCCACCTGCCGCCGTGCCCCCTCAGAGGATGGCGCCCACAACCCACACGGCCGCAGCCTCCGAGAACTACGGCGAATATGTAAGTACAGCAGCGGGTGAAGCCAAGGTGAAGGCCGGGGTTTTTTTGTTGTTTTTTTTACCATTATCTTCTATTGTTTTGGACTGCTCATTTATCATGGAAGTGTTTTCCAACGCTTGAAGCGCTAAAGTGTGTGTGTAAAGCACACCGGGGGCTGTTTAAAGTTCATGGTACACGTCCAACTTTTTTTTAAAACATTTTCCGTTGTCTGTTTCAGGGCTACGACGAGAACTACACAGACGCATCCTACGAGTCGTATGACAACTATTACACTCAGCCGCAGGGGTGAGAGAATCTAACGTCTCTAACCTGTTTGTTTTGGTTTTTTTAAGCTGCTTTTCACAACATACCCACACAGCACCTATTTAATCTGAGAATTTTTTTTTTGTTTTGAATGGAGCTTAAACTCTTTTGAGAAACATTCAGGAGGGAAGTATTGCCAATTGCCAAGAAATGACTTAATCGTTAATAGCTTAATGTTTGACACATCAGCAACTAGTGGATGTAATTCAGAGATCAATTTGTTTTATTCCTTTCCCTGTGTTGTTATTAGAGAGCCGGAGTACTATGACTACGGGCACGGAGAGACCACAGAATCGTACGAATCATACGGTGAGGATGAAACATGTTTGTCTTTTCGCAATGACTCTTTAGTTCCAGACTTTACCAGGCGAAGGAATCTGCACGAAAAGACACTTCTGCACGACGCGGCTAGTCAACTGGGTATCATTTGTTCCAAACTTTGACCATCCACAATGATTGACCTGATTTGTCCTGTTGTCCCACAGGGCAGGATGATTGGAACGGAACCCAGCAGCTAGGTCAGGCGAAGGCTCCTCCCCCCTCCAGAGGCTCCAAGACGACTTACCGGGATCACCCTTACCGACAGTACTGAAGCAGACCCGCTCCCAAAAGTGTTGCCGTGACTACCAACTGTCTACAATGGCAGCTCTCGCTTTAAGCAACCCGACAAAAGTAATTGTCCGTTTTGTCTTTGGTTTGGTCTTTTTTCCACACCGGACTTTATACGAGAGAGAGCACAATACTAGGAACTGAAAAATCCTGTTTTTTAAAAAGATTCGCCCGCTAACTCCCTCCAATACTTTGGCGCGCCAACCGACCTGCCAACCAAAGCGGCTTTTAGATGGATTACAGTGAAGTTGGCGACAATTTTTTTTCGTGTTCTTTTTTTATTTTGGAATTCTGTTTCTGTTGCTGTATTTTTTTTCTCTTTCTTTCTTTCCTCTTACCCCTTTTTTAACCTCCTTCTGGCTTTTTTTGCATTGTTGATCAGTGGGTTTTTTTTCCGTTTTTTTACTGTTCCGGGAGTAGGTCTTTCTAGTGGAATTAGTGGCTCATTACCCACCTGTCTAAGGAGTCATTATACTTGTTTATAAATAAAAAAAATCTGTTGAGGGTCAGTTGCAGATTCCCATTTAGGCTACATTTCAAAATTCTTTCTAATATAGCTCGATTAAAAACCCTTAAACTCTCAATTATGTAATATAGAAACAAAAACGGACTAAAATAAGAAGAGAAGAAAAAAAAAATGAATCAATGTAAAAGAAATCATTTCAATTCCTACATTGTTTTTAAATAGTTCTAAAACATTGTGCATCTAGTCGGACGCATCAATATTTGTCATTGTACTTTAGAGTTTTGAAATATAGCCCTAATAGACACTGTTGAGATGGACTGTCCTCAAATCCTCAATTTGACTCATATGTTTAAAAAAAAAAAAAACAACTAATTTTAAGATTTCTGAAGATCAACTGTTGTGCTTAACAAACAAAAAAAAAAAGTTCAGGTCCTTATTTTGGGGGATCTGATTCTTCATAAACTGCATGCCCAAAATACTGAAAGGATTGGGACAAAAATCTCCACATGGGTCTTCTCTTTCTACAGAGAAGGGATCCTGCAGCTCAATCCGAACATATTGTACATATTTTAAAACTAACTGTACTCACTCTGCCACCAAGTATCTGTACCCTCTCCATAAAATGCATTATGCTACATGTGTAAGCTTGCCTAAATAGGATACTAAATCTGTCCAAAAGATGTTTTGCAGCGGTTTGTCAATAAAGCTTAGATTGTTTTTTTATGAAACGTAACTTTGCTTTATTTCTTTCCTTCCTTAGCAAAATTGCCTTTTTAAACGACGCTCAGATGTAGCTGTCTTCCTTTTGTTTCTCATATTTAAAAAGGAAAAAAAAAAAACAACGACAACAACAAATCGCTTTTTCTAAATCTAGTTGAATGTATTGACCAACTTTAACCCTACTAAATGATGTACTGACTGATCATCAAAAGAGCACAACTTATTCTCTCTCTCTCTTTCTATACTTTTTAAAAAGGACCCAGAGGTAAGACCTCTAAAATAACCTGGATAGCTTCCTAATGTGTATAGAGTTCTAAAGCATTGAATGCCTGGGTATGTATAAGACTTTTTTAATCCTGTTACCTGTGGTCGTTTAATCGTTAATGAGAACTGCTTTGGTTAGCGTCTGAAAATAACTGAATTCAAACCACCATTCAGGTCTAAGCTTCGTTGTCATGAATGACGCTGGCGCGATGGCTACTTTAGTACAGACTAATGGCAGTGCAATGGAGAGGATGGTTATAACCTAGAGAGCTCCACTGTAAAGGTAACCTAACCCTAAATGTTTAATTTCGTAGTGTGTTTATCCATTGACATAAACTTGCTGGTAAATGCGCACTTTCTTAAAATATTATTACAGTCATGGCAGAAAAAAAAAAGAATCAACTTAAAAGTAAGAAAAACGTAACTTCCAATACAACGCAGTAGTGGATTCTCTGTACCAAAATAAGTGTTCTTTGTAATAACCAAACAGAATAGTGTTAATGCAACTCTTGCTAAAATAATAATAATAAAAAAAAACACACAACTTAGCCCAATCTGTCAATATCTTCTGTACAGTTGAGCTGCCGTTACGTTTTTTTATTTGCTGTGTTACAGTAATATCTGACGAGGTTGTGCTTGTGCCAAAAGTTAGATCCAAAAAAAAAAAAAAACAACGAAAGCTTGAGTTGCATGAGCATATCTTTCTCCTGTAGACGTTGCATGATCTCTGTCTTAAATTTCTCCCGGTGTTTTTTAGACAAGATATTGATTTGAGGTTTGTCCTTCCTCCAGGCGCAGCTATCGGTCACTGAGTGTCCAGAGACGTGACATCCTGCTGGAGTGACACCGTACAAACCTCAGGTTGGTTCACTACTCTCTCTCCCTCTCTTTCTTCCTCTGGTCTACGCTGCTGGGCCGTGCATGTCGTCGGCCCATTAACTACACTCTCCATATTGTTTTCCCATTATCACTGTCCATACAGCTTTTACATTGATTTCTTTGCCTTCCAGACCAGACCGGGCCATTAGTATCCATTCATGTTTCTGGGAAAAAAAACAAACTGCATGGATTTCTTAAAAAGCATACACGGCTTTCTTTGAAACTTTCTTCAAATAAAACATTAATAGAAACCTATGCCAAGGTCCAGAAGTGCAGAAAATGGAGGAATACATGTTTTGATTAGAAATGAGAGAATCAGCAGAAAAAAATCAACCACTAAAATAAGGTTCAATTGGACAAACTTTTTTTTTTTTAAAGACTGCAGACTTTGGTCGAAGAATGATGAAATTTAAATCAATGCGGGAACTACTTAGGACTTGTTAGCTAGCCAACTGTCAATCAACTAGATGGAAATGCGAAGGCTAAAAAAAAGACTTCAATTGTTAGGACGGATTCCATGGCTAACCACTTAGCATCGACAGTTCCGATGCTTTGTCTTTTTATTGTCATGTGTCTTGACACGGTACATAAGACTCGCCATTTAGATTACTGATCAGAAATTGGACATCTTTGTAATGTGTCTTGACACGGTAAATAAGACTTACCGTTTAGATTACTGATCAGAAATTGGACATTTTCACACTTTTATTTATGCTAATCGTGCGAAATGTTTCTAGTGGTCGTCCACATAATTGCCCTGCCTGGTCACTGTTGTCATGAAGGTTGGGTTTGGGGAACTCTGGGAAGTCCTTCGCAACCTTAACTGGATTGTTACGTCGAATGACAATGTGCTCACATTTTGAAATGAATGTGAGGATGAGGTCATAGATGGTAGAAGCCTGGAGGCGAGGATCATGGAAGCACGTGTATTATTTTTTTATTATACCACCTTAGGTTCGTTTTACGATTCTGCCAGAGACTGGGCTGAAACACAGAAGGGAAATGTAGTGGAAGCAATAAAATGATAACAATAACTGCCGTGGCGTTAATAACGTCAGCAGACGTGTTTATGAGCACTTCAAGAGCAGTTTTAGGACGCTAGCTTTTTCGAGCATTTCTCCCGACATGGTATGATGTCACTTCTGTAGGTTGAAGTGTTTTTTGTGTCACTGGGTTTCTGGTTGCACTCGAAGTCTGCTTGCCATTGGTCTAGACGCTCTGTTGCTGTGTCTTTTGTGCCTGTTGATTGCATCTGTCAAGGCTTTCAGTGCTAGCGCTTAGCAAGGCCAAAATGAATGGAGCTGAGAACACTTTCAGTCTTAGTCTTTAGTGGAATTAACAAGGAGCAACGTTTCCAAGAAAGCGTAATGGCTTCTCCGCGATTTCAGATACATCAGTGTAAAGCGAGGGATTTAAAATGAAAATCTGCTCTCCCCTTGTTCCACGTACGTTCCCCTAATGGTACGTCTGCCGCGGCTCAAATGAAAATAGAAGTTTTAAATGTAAGCGCTTCACTTAAACTTCGAGAAAAGCTGACAAACTTCTTTCCGTGATGGATGATGAGCCCTTTCTATCTACGTAAGCACAAATCCACAGCTACTGGTGTAAAATATTCAGAGTACCTCCACCGTTTTTCGGTCTGCGTAACAATGTGCAGCTGCAGCACTTTGGCCATATCCGCGGCGTTTTTGAAGGTCGGTCGAAGCTCACCATTGTCCGGAGCGTTTTAGAGAGGCCTTGCGTTTGACGGTACGCGTGTGTGTGTGTGGTCACACGAGCCTACTGACGGTGAGCGAGGGAGGAACTGAGGCCCAGTGTCAGAGCGGTCGCAGGGAAAGTGACTAATGAGGATCTGTAGGCTCGAGGCTTTCTCTTCTCTGACAGAAGGGAAAACAGAAATGAGAGGACTCTGGAGATGCTCGAAATGGAACCAGGAGCGGACAGGGATCGGAGGAATTTCTCACGATGTCCCGTCCGCCGTGAAGGAATGGAAAAAAAAAAATAAAGGCTGGAAAAGTTGCATGGTCAATCTTTAGAGATGGCATTTCTGTCCAGTCAAGCTGGAGAACCGAATGATTCAGGAAGGATGGCTCCACACAACTCTCGAGCTTTCATGTCCGATACAGGTTCCGCAGAGTATTTGCGATACCGATATTACTCCGATACCTTTTCTCCTAAAGTTAAGCAAAGGAGCATTTTTTGGATCGGACTGGATTTAGGTTCTTTTTTTTTTTTTGTCGATGTCCGAACGGAGAAGAAGAATTGGAAATTATTTCCCTCTTACTTTGAAAGCCTTATTTTAATGAAGTGGTTTTTTACTTTTCACCATTTTTTAAAAGTGATTCAACTTTGTAAAAAAAAAACCCTGAATGATGTGCATGGCCCTTTGTGTTTGTAAATGTTTTCTGTTCGCAAGCGAAGGCTTTGTAGGGATGCTTTTTTTTCTCTTGAACCAATTACGTTTCAGATTTGTTCCAATTTTGAGCTTAATTTTGGAGTAAACTAGGAAAAAGTACTTCCTGTACTTACTAGAAAGAGAGAGATGGATTGAGCAGGCACTTTAATGTCTCGAGTTCTTTACTTCCCCCGATACGTAATTTCAGTGAAGCTTGGAAATGTACTGTTGAACTTTGACCTTTGAGAGGGCGTTTAACCTGCGATCCAAAATGAGGATACAGCTTTGGTTAAAAAAAAAAAATTTTTTTTTTGAAATGTAGACTGTGCTGCGGAAAAGGGAAGATTTTCAGTAATTGGTTTGATTTTTGATGAATGAAACTTTCCCGGGGGGTTAGACTTTTGCTGCGGAAAAGGGAAGATTTTCGGTAATTGGTTTGATATTTGATGAATGAAACTTTCCCGGGGGGTGAGGGGTCATTTTCTCCTCCCGTGTTAGCGGACGATCAGCCGCGGCGACCTCCGCAGAAGAGAGCAGCCGAAAGGCCAGGCTCTGATTGAAAATGCTCATAAAAAGGAGGCCTGCATCAGGCCTGCACCACATCAGCTGCTGATTGAAAAATTATTGCGCTAACCCCGGATCACCTGTCTCTCCAGTAATTATGTCTCGCGCGGTGAGACGTTGCTAAGCTACTGTTGATAAGTACCACCTTTTGGCAGGGAAAAAAAAAATGACCTTTCATTATGACAGCCACTGCTCCAAAAGACCTTTGATTTTTGGTAAGAAATGTTTTTAATTCGAGGATTGGTTAAAGTGTTAACACTCGTATGTTTTTTTTTTTTTGGGTTTTTTTGTTTTTTTGTTTTAATCTTTTCTGCAGTGAAGCCATGCGCGGGAACAGCCCAACAGATGGAGGTGGTCGGAACGATGCTCTCAGGGCACTTTCTCTGAAAGGAGTGGCTCGCAGCCCATTTCTCTCCCTGGCAGGTGAAGGAGGGCAGGATTGTGGTGGCCGGCTGCCAGTTGACCCAGGGAGGGCAGCTGATGAAGTGCGAGCAGGGGAGAGGAACTGGCTCGCATTCTGACATCGAAATGACTCAGGCTGCAGCTGGACGGCGGAGACATTCAGCCTGCGTGGGAACGTCGGCTGAATGAGCCAGAGACTGAAAAGCAGCTCCCGTTTTTCTTTTTTCTGCTGTCCCTAAATTTCATGGCTTTTATTAAATTAATGTGCATTAATTACTTTTCTCCCGCTGAAAACGCCCACGTGGAGCCCTTTGGTTGGCACGCTGCTTGTACACGATTTTCCAACGCACAACCACCGTTTTCTACCAATGTAATTGTTACAACTTAATTCGGCATGAAATGTCACAGAAAAGCTGTGAAATTGTTGCGTTCAAGTTCCCCCTTGAAATAAATGCGAAGTCTTTGCGGGCGGCCTGAGCGTACGACGTACGGGAACGGCATGGG